CTGTCTTGTTCTTTCGCCTTACCCTCTTCTAGAACCATGCCTCAGCGGCGGCCACTGGTAGGTGCCCTCTGCATCGTTAGCTCTCTCTCACCCAGCTCTGCTCCTCCTGTGGGATTGCATTTTACCTAGGGCAGGGGCCAGGCCAGGTCTCCTTGTAGCCTGGAGAAGTAACCAGCCTGAGGGACTGCTGCTGACCACCCCATGTGCTCACTAAGCTGGGCTGGGCCGTTCACAGTTGCACAGTGGGCAAGAAGCAATCAGACAGATACTGACAGCAGGGTCTCACTTTGTGGTTCAGGGTGGCCTTGAGCTCACTGTGTATTCCAGGTTGGCCTCAAACTGTGATCCTCCTGCTTCTGCATCCTGAATGCTGGGGTTATAGGCATGTACTACCATGCCTGGCTTGACTGTCACCTTTACAAATGGGGAACTGAGTATGATATGTCAACTAAGTCATGATATGTCAACTGGATTAAGAAATGACTAGCAGATTAGGAGATACTTCCAGGTATATCTGTGGGTGTTTCCAGACATGATTGGCATGTGGGCCAGCAAACAGAGGGAGAAGGACCTACCCTCATTGTAGACATCATCCAATGGGCTTGTAGCCCTGGTGGAATAAAAAAGAAAGTCGCTGTATGTTTTTGGAAGTGCCACTGCATTTGGGTGGGTGCATCTCTTGCTGGACCTCAGTCTCCAGTTTTTTTCAGCTTTTCTATGAGAACTCACACCAACAGCTCTCTAAGGCACTTCTGGCTCTTTGGTCTTAGACTAGTATTGCATCTTTGATACTTCTTTCTCTGTGGCTTCCAGCCTCCTTCTTTTCTTTGTCTTCCTCCTCCTCCTCCTCTGTCTCCTGTTCTTTCTTCGGTATTGAGACAGGGTCTCCCCACATAGTTCAGGCTGGCTTTGAACTCACTATATAGCCTCAGCTGCTTTCAAACTCATGGTGAACCTTCTGCCTCAGCCTCCTGATGGCTGGGATTATAGGCATGGGCCATTTTACCTGCCTTGGCTTCAAGCTTCTTGGGCTGATCACATACTGGATCTTTTGGATTTCTTTTTTTTTTGTCTTTTTCGTTTTTTATCGGTACCAGGGATCGAACTCACGACTGCCTGCTTGCAAGGCAGGTGCTTATGCCGCTGAGCTAAATTCCCAGACCCCGATCTTTTGGATTTCTAAGGCACAGGTGGCCATGGTGAGCTCTTCTGCCTTATAGGAGAGCCTGTAAGCCTAATACATTACCTGGAAAAAATACATATATATTCTTTTTTTTCTATGGATTCCTCTAGAGAACTCCAAACAATAAGCCAAGGTACAGAGAAGTTAATAACTTGCCCAAGGACACACAGGTACTAAATGACTAAGTCAGGCCTGGAACTGGACTCTTGGACTCTTAACACATTTTTTCCTGACCAAGTGTCAGGGCAAGGCTTGGGCATGTTGTCTCAAATGATCTCCGAATTCCTAAGCTGGGGAACTTAGGCTGTGGGGATGTTCACTGGTGGTCCTGTGAGGGAGGGCAGGACCAGATCTTTAATTTTCCAAGAAGCTTGGGCCTGGGATGAGCAAAAGGACCCACCAGCCCCCCTCCCCCTGAAAGAGGGCCTCCCTCAGTGTGACCTGGAGCTGCAGGCCTGTACCTATCTCACCTACCAGTCTACCATGCAAAATCAGAGACAGCAGGTGATTGGCCCAAGGTTTCACAGTAGAGGATAGAATCTCTGGCAGGCTGAATGCTGGACTCTGTGATGGTCTTGCCTGTGCATGGAGGCTGGTGACTCCCCAAGGAGGACAGTTGGCAGCAGTGAGGGGCTTTTATCCGCCTAATTCCAGAGGGTAGTGTCCCAAGTAGATTCCATTCCACTGCTGACCTGGGCACTTCTCCATAGATGGAGCTGTTTTGGGGATGGACATATGGAAAGAAATCAACTCTGTTCATCAGGGGAATGCATCAAGAAGGGTTACGAATGGTAGTCAGAGGACCCAGGTTCAGGGGCTGTGTCCTTTAGGCACCCCCGAGAAGGCCTTTCCTTCCCTCTGATCTTCTTTTCTCTGTTCAAAGGAGCAGAGTTCTTGTTGCTGGATGAATGGATCCAACTATCCCAAGGGGCAGTGGGAAGGTGGGGGTGAAGGATGGGGTAGGATGATGCTTTACTGACTTTCTTGCCATGAGAGAAGAGGCCAAGCCATCAACCACCAGGAGGCTTTGTCCAGTGTTTTTCCCCCTGTAGTAGTTAGGGTGAGGTGTCAACTTGATTGGGCTTGGGATCCATCCAAGGATTAGTAGAGCACACTTCTGGGTGTCTGAGTGGGTCACAGAGGTGTGGTCTCAGGGTCTGTGTCTGCTCCTTAGTCCCTTCCTCTTGGTTGCTGTTCTGCTCTGCTCTGCTGTGCCCTTTTACCTTGGAGATGGCCAACCATGGACTGAAGTCTCCAAAACTGTGAGCCAAGTGGAACCATGTCATGCTTTAAATTGTGTGTGGTGAGTATTTGGCTCCAGTGATGGGAGAGCTGACTAATACATTCTTTCCACATCTTGAACTCCCTGCTTCTACTGTGGTTAACTGTGACAGTTATGATGACATTAGCACTGCCCCCCCCCCAATTTTCCATGGAGAAAAATGATTTGAAGCAGGGGGTTAAGGAAGAGATCTAATAAAGAAGAATACACTGGCCCAGATGAGTGCATACCCAGCTCCCCCTGGAGTGGTCCCCAGCTCATCTGGGCCACAAGAATGTGCTTTGTTAACTACAACCACTTCCCAGATGCTGAGGGGGCAGATGAAACCCAGGTCCTGGCAGAGGGTCACTGGCACAGCAGTGGGTTCTCTGACTTCATCTGACCCAAAGCTGCTGTGAACCCCAGATATGAAGATCTCTAAAGCAGAGCACTCCAGCCCAGGGCCACCTCCTTTGGATGGGGGAATCCCAGAAACAGCTGGCAGACTATCCAGCATGCTCATCACGAATCATTCAACTACCTCCTGGTCCCCCAAGTCACTGCAGATGACACCACAGTGGGAGAAGCTTCTGGCTGTGGAGGCAGAGACAAGTATTGATCATATGACCTCAGGAAAACTGCCTTACTTCTCTGAGTTTGTCTCTTCATCTATAAAGTGAGAAAACACTGTCTTCCTCCCAGCCCTATTGTGATGCTATAGGAAGTAAGGTAATGATACTAAAAAATAATACCAATAAATGATAGGTATTGCCATTTTGTTATGACTATTTAAAAAATTAAGTCTCAGTCTGTAGAAAGTTGAAATTGGATCTCAGCTGACAGCTGTCACAACATTAGCCTGCTTCTGGCTATATTGATCAAATCACTAGATTTAGATTTGAACCTGGCATAACCTGATCTGGTTTCAAGTACTGGCTTTTGGCGTTTGTGTGAATTTGGATGAATGACTTTTACTCCTTGAAAACACAGAGAGATAGGGACACCTCTCTAACATAGATAAAAACAGTGTTGCCTCTCTTGTGGCTTTTTGATGGAAATTGCAGGGACTTATACAGAGAGACCTCAGGGAAGTGCCTGGCACTTAGCTAAGCACCCATGGATGTTTTTAATCCTGTCATTATTAGATGGGAACTCTCAATGCACAAAATGAGTGCCTGTTGTGATCCTGACAGCCTCACAACCGCACTGCGAATGCCACCTGGATGGTAGAAGGAGAGATCAAGGCTTAGAGAATTTCCACACCCCAGCTCTGCAAAGGGAAGTGGATCCTGCCTGGTCTGTCCCTCTGTGAGTAGCTCTCACTTGACAACTTCCGGGTCCCTTGACTACTCCATACTCTTGAACTGAGTCCTCTCCTCAGCACCCAGAAGAGTCTGGGAGACCTGAAGTGTGGGTTTGAAGCTCAGGAACTGGTCTTGTGATTTCAGGTACAACCCACGGGTGTCTCAGTTTCTCCATCTGAAAAGTCATGATAATTTGAGCCCTGGCTTTGGAGTCAAAAGACCTGAGTATGAATCTTGATCCCACCACTTATTTGGAGTGGCCTTGAGCAACTTCACTTTCCTTGATTTCTTTGTCTTTGCCTGTAAGAAAGGGGCTAATGGTAGAATAGGTGACAGTGGAATGTTACAGGCAAAAAGCAGAGCACAGAAGTGTAATGGGTGTGATTCAGTTTCAGATGCATTCTGTGCTCTGATTCCTGTCCTCATTCCTTTTTTCTCTATCTTTTGGCCACTAGATCCTGCCTGCCACTAAGGTTCCCCCATCTCTGAGGTCACTCTTCCCTATTCTCCCATCCTCTGCATTTCAAAATATTTCAGACTATGTATACATGATGTCTCTACCACTAAGTCTTGCCAGTTTTGCCCAGTGGATTCTGTGCTTTCTCTGAGTTTCTCATACTTTGGGTGATAATAATCTGCTACTGTGCCTGTTTCCCCTACTGAATGAAAAGAGCAGGGTGCATATTTCACTGTCACCCCCAGTGACCAGCACAGCCAATGTCATGTGCAGGTGTCAACACATGTCTCTTCCCATCAGAAATGAGCAACAAAAGGCTCAGGCTGACAGCTGTCTTGAGTAGAGCAGTAGTGAGCCCCACACCCCACTGAAGCTCAGCACTCAGCAACAATGGAGGAAGATGTCACCTGCTAGGACACTAGCTTAGAAGCAGAAGCCACCTGGACTTGATGGGCCAGACCTTTACTTGTCTAGGGGAAGCAAGTCAGTCCCTGAGACCACAAGCTGTCAGGTTGGGAACAAGGTCTGTGCCTGGTACCTCTGAAGACACCACTGACAAACCACAACTATGACACAGTTCTCCTCATAATCTCACGTAGCATTTCCCCAGAGGGTCACAGAACACTATGTGGGAGGCAGGTGGGCTGGTTACCCCAACTGTAGGGAAGAGGAGACGGAGGCCAGGCATGGGTCTTCCTGCCAGCACATCAGCCTCTAACGCCACCACCTCAGATTCGATGACCTTTGTGGATGACCGAATCCCACAGCCATATACTTTATGAAAACTTCAAAAGGGACTTTAAAAATTCTTTAGTTTTATATATTTATAAGGACAACTTCTGCCCTGGTGGCTCAGAGGCCCTGATAATTCAACAGAAAGAAGTGAATATCTTGGTGAATTGGTGACATGGAATTCTGGGAAAGTCTCAAGGGGTAGGCCTTAAGGCAGGAAAAGTGGGTCCTTCCCTGGCCTTCTTCACACTCCTTCTGGAGGCTTCTGGAAGAAGAAGCCTCCAGACCCAGGGCATGGTGCCCTGTGTGCCAGCTCAGCTGCCTGTGATGCTGAAGGTGAGGGAAGGTGGCAGAGGGGTGAGCCCCTGTATGGCCCTAAGGTCTTTAAATCCAGGGCCCAATTTGATGTCGCTCCCCATGGCACTCCTCTAGATTTGCACGTCCACCTCCAGCAGCGGTGACAGGCCTGGATGGGCTGAATTCATGCTGGTATCTCCTGCTTCCATCTCCTATCCTGGTTCTGAGTCCAGCAGGGAGGAGCCAGTACGTTTCTTGACAAGTCTCCACGGGGGCCCTGGAGAGACCTTCCTATCCTGAGAGCCTCTCTGCTCAGGCCCAAAGCTCTGGCTTACCACCTATAGCTCAGATCCAGTCCAGTCTCTCCCTATTTTTTTTTTTTTTTTTGGTAGTATTTGGAGTTTGAACCTGGAGCCTTCAAGGTACATCCCCAGTCCCCTTTTTTATTTCTTGTTTTAATTTTGAGACAGGATCTCACTAAGTCACTAAGTAGCCCAGGCTGGGCCAGAAATTACGATCCTTCTGCCTCAGCCTTCCAGAGTACTGAGATTATAGGCAGGCACTACCCCTGCCTGGCTCAGTCTTTCTACCCCAATCTTCAAGACTGAGTGGCTCGCTGGTACCCCATGTTGTGTGGTCTGTGCTGAGGGGAGCAATTCTCCCTGCCCCCTTCTGAACCATCTACCCTTTTGGCCTAGCCCAAGTTCCTGTCATCCTACCAGCAACCACAGCCAAGCTATCTATCCTGTTCCTGGGCTTGTAAGTACAATGGGAGGGAATCAGTCTCCCTGCTGAGCCCCAGTCTGGGTTGGGGCTCCCTCAAGAGCTGGCCTAAGTGTTGGTCTCCACGATGCACTTGAGGAACATGGTGTCGTCCTTCACATAGGCATGTTTGGGCGACTGCAGCTTGTTGAGAGGGAAGAAGAGTGGGCAGCCACTGGCCACGTTGGTTTCACTCTGGGGCCGCTGGAAGGATGCTGAGCTCAGGTCAGGCCGGAAGGCATCAATGGCATGCTCACGGTTGTTCTGGTCGAGCAGCATGAAGGTGACCTGCAGGACAGGACAGGGCCAGGTGGGAGATCAGATCCCAGGCAGCAGCATCCAGGCTCAGAGGCCCAGTGTACAGGGCTAGAGGGCACTGAACCTGTTGCCTGTGTGAACCCTTAGCTCAGACTGACCAGGAACCAAAGAAACAATGTATGGACCACACTTGTGCTATGCACAACCCCTATAATCAAAGGCACCTGCTACCCTGAGCAGGCACGGGGTGAGAATGGATAGGCCTTCTCCTGAGGGGCTGTCACTCGATACCCTGTTAATCACACTCTGGGACACATACAGAGCAGATGCACACATCCCAAAGAAGCTGCTCATCTGACCAGGACACAAACCCCCTTCCCTGGCACATGTCCTGAAATGCCCATCAGGAACTGAGGTTGTTCCTCTGTTTCCAACTGAAGTTTCCATCTTAAACTTGGCTGCACTAAGAATCCCCAGGGGAGGCTCAAACACTTGGATGCCCTGGCCTTACCCCTTATGAGGGTGAGCCCCAGTTCCAGGTATTTTAACAATATCCCTGGATGGCTATGTCTCCGTGGTATAGCACATACCTAGCATGCAAGAGTCCTGTATACCATCCTCAGACCAGAAAGTAAAATGTCCCCAACACATAGGGGAACAGCTGCCTACTGACTCCTTCTCAGACCTGCCTGGCCTGCTCATCTGCCTGTTTCCCACTGCAGCTGAAGCTTGCAGGCTTGACACCTTCCCCTCACTCCACGTGGCTGTTAACCTGCAGGGAAGGGAAAGCCTCGCCTTCCCAACTCTCCCTTAAACATTGTAATAGGCTTTATGTTTTAGAGCAGTTTTAGGTCAACTGGGCAGGAAATAAGAGTTCCCTTTTCTCCCTGCATGCACAAGCTCTCCCACCATCTGCATCCTACCTGGGGGGAGCTTTTGTTACAAATGATAAACTTATACTGATACATCTTTGTCACTTGAATTCATGATGGTGCTCATTCTGAGTTTTGATAAATGTGTAAGGACACCTATTCACTACTGTAGTATCATACAGAAGAATTTCACTGGCCTTCTACCTTTGGTGATTCCTCTGTACCTTTTTCCTTCTCTTCTACCCCATGGAAATCACTGATCTTTCTACTGTCTTCATAGGTTTGCCTTTTTCATCAGTCATACATAGTAGGACTCACAAAAATTTTCAACTCCAGGGTAAATACGTGGAGTGTAACTGCTAGATCATATGTAAGAGTATGCTTACTGATGTACGAAATTAGTAAACTTTTTTCCCAAGGGGCCATCCCATTCTCCACCCTACCAGTAGGAATCAGAGCTCCTTTTGCTCCACATCCTTACCAGCACATGGTGTGGTGAATGTTCTTGATTTGGGGCATTTTGAGAGGCCAGGGGCCTCTGTTCTCTTCCCTTTTTCTGAAGTTCTACAGGTTCAAGTTGGCCTCACATCTCCTCTTCTGGAAAGATCCCCTCATCCACTCCACTTGTGGATTCTGCCTCTACAAGTCCTTCAGGAATGCTTTATTTCAGAGTTTATTTTAGTGCCTGGGCTCAGGGAGTGCCTTGGCTTCTAGATCTGAACTCAGCTTCTTGTAGTATAAAAGGGGTAACTGATAATGTAAGGAGAGTGGGGACTTGCCCAGGTTACACAGCCAATTCATAACCAGGACTAAAACCCAGGTTCTCATGCTCCCCTCGCTATCCCTCATCCCCTCACCCTGACCCATACCTTGTTCCGGAAAGGCCATGGCAACAGAGCATCGTACTCCCCTCTCATGATCACGATGAACAGTGACAGGTGGGTCCTCTTGCCGGTGCCATCCCCATTCAGGTAGAGCCGCAGGCACAACTTGTATCCGTACTTGGCAGTGTAGAAAGCTGAAATGTGGGGGCCACAGTCAGTGCAGCCTGGATGTGGCGAGGCAACACTGATCACACAGATGAGACTGGAGTGTACTGGTCAGGCATGCCCAAGGTCAGTGGCTCGCTTGTAGGACAGCTGGGGCTGGAGTCAGCCTTCCTTCACTATACAGCAGTATAGAAGAGCGAAGGAGCTGTCTGAGATCTCCTAGCCCAGCCTGTGGTTGTCAGCTAGCTTTTAAGATCACGGATGGGCCCTATTCTCAGGGTTTCTGATTCAGAGGTGTTGGGAGAGGACGAAAAATCTGCATGTCTAACTAGTTTGCAGGCGATGCCAACGTGGCAGGCCCAGGGACTACATTCGAGAACGGTCCTTTTCACCAGCCTCATTTTACAGTGTGGAAACAGCCTACCAAAGGGAACTGGCCGGCAAATGCCCCAGGAGACAAATCACTGCAGATGACTAAGCGCGTGAACCTATGAGGCTCGCTCCCTGGGCAGCTGAAAAGTTTGTCCTTTTGGGCATGGGTTTTGACAACTGCTGCAATCTGGGGACAGTTCCCTGGGTGGGGACGGGGTGTGGGGCTGGGCAGGAAGGGGGTGGAGCAAGAACATGTTGCCAGGCTGACTCATCTCTGTCCACTACGTGTGGTGGAACAGGAAGCCAGAGGGACTACTTGCTTTTTCCTTTTTGCAAAGATTCCAGGGGGAACCGTCTGTGGGTAGGAGGTGTGGCCACCCTTGAAGAGGGCCATGTCCATAAGAGGACAACTTTTGGAAGCTGTGCTGCTCCACAGTCCAGGCAAACTCCACTGCTCCTTCATGAATCCAGTTTAGCTGGTCTTGGGTACATTAGAACTCAGAAGGGCAGAAGCCCAGGCAGGGTAGGCAGAACTCCACCTTCATGTTCCCCATTCTTTCTGCCCTGGTTACTGTGTCACACGTGTTATACAGGGGACAAGTACAGAAGGCTGAGCCCGTATCTACAGCTGGCTTCTGGGAAGGGACTTGGCCTTCTTGGGGTTTAGTTTATTTAAATGGAGCCACAGCTGTGTGCATGTGTGAAAGAGAAAGTGTTTTATACACACAAGTAGAAGCACTGTTATATTAATACACATCAGCTAAGAAAAACATTTCCCAAGAACTGCCCCAGCTTACACAACACACATCCACAGGTGGCCCGCAACTGTATACAAGTGGAACTCTGCCTCAGTCCTCCACTTAGCTAACTGCAGACTGCTAGCTCCCTGAGGATGTGGGTCCCACATATTCCCCTGTGAAAGCCACCACCTACATCTTTCTCACCTGCACCCCCTTTGGTTCTAAGGGTCCTTTCTCTCACATCTGGCAGCCTCATGAAATAGATAACAATGTTTGCTACCTTTCTATTTGTGGAGTGTGCTATCATTCAGGGAGCAAAAAGGGGTTTCCCAGAGCCAAGAAGCCCACTTTTGTGAGTGGGTGATAGCCCTGGGTCAGCATGGTTTGCCCACTGCCCCCATGGTCCCAATACAGATCTGGGTTGCAACAGGTGACTGGGATGGACTGTGGTCTAACTGGGACCTACCATGCTGTCCCAGGACAGCTGTTCTCTCAGCTTGTTTTCTGGGGCAATAGGGGCCTCCTTCCCCATCTGCTCTCTGTGCCCCCTTGAGCAGTTACCTGGGGAGAAGAGACTGATGGTCCTGCCACAAGCAGACTCATGGCACCGCCTGGTGACATTGGTGATCTTCCACACAAAGGTGCCATCGAAGGAAGCCTCCTCCATGAGGCGCAAGCTTTGCTCCAGCTTTCCCAGTGCCTGGTCTTTCTGGGCCAGGGTCTGCTGCAACTCCATCACCTGCAAGGACACTCACTCAGCCAGGGACCCACCTTGGGGATGAGGTAGGATGGCAAGGTCTAGAGATAGTTCTGTCCCCAAATGTTTTCCTGACCATGCCTCACTCGGGTGCATGAGTCTGTGATTGCATGTGCTACGCCTGCCTGGAGTTCCTTCTCTCCTATTCATTTATTAAGAATCCAGCGCATCTAGCCCTTCCTGTGGGAAACCTTCAACCATTGCCTAAACTCAGTTGGCTTGTGTCCCCACAGAGTTTTACAATGGTTTTGTGTTTTTCCTACTATTTGTTCTCCCCCACCACTGGACTGACCCATGCTCATTTTAGTTGTTTCCATGCTTTGCCTGGTGTCTGGCCTGGAAGAGTAGAGCCAGGAAATTTATTGGTGGGAAAATGACACAGTTGCTGCCTGCATGGATCCTACCTTTTACTGGGCTATGTACATAAACAAAGGCCTTATTTGGCCATATGAATCCGGTATCTTGTTCTCCTACTAGGTTTTCCTTGTGAGATTTGAAAGATGACAGCTATAGTCTTGGGTGTGCACAAGTACGGGGAATCAGGAATGGAAGTGAGCCTCCTTAAAGACATGTAAGCCCTAATTTTACTGCTGGGGGAGCTGAGGTCCTGAGAGAGAAAGTGACTTGCTTAGGTCTACTCAGCAAATTAATGGTGGAGCTGGAAGTGAAACATAAGCCTAACTCAGTATGATGCAGGACTGCTGCAAGAAAGCAACACTTGCGTGGTGAGTGGCTACATTAGGAAAAGTATAAGCCGTGGCATGAGGGACAGTTCTGTTGAGCCAAGAACAGCTGGATAAATGGATTATTTGGGGTCAGCCTCCAAAACCTACAGAATCCTTTAGAGACTAGGTCAGAGCATACAGGGATGGCAAGCAAAGCATTCCCTGAAGAAGATGCTGGGCATTTGGTCTAAAGAAGGACTGGGGTAAGACATAATTGCTACTCTCTATCCCTAAAGGGTTGCCAGGGAGATCTTGGCTTAGTTGAAGGAAGAACTTTCTGACAGTGAAAAGTGTCCAGTAGTGGAAAAAGCCATCTCAGGAGGGAGAGTCCTATCCCAGGAGAAGCTCAAGCAAGGGGACTGAAGCATTGGGCGGGGCAAGGGGTTGGCCTTGACTAGCGTTTCTGACCCAAGGTTCTTCTTAGAGTGTCTTAGGACTCAAGGGAGCTAGTTTTAATGGGGTGTGGCTGCTCTGAGCAGGATGAATGATTAGGAGGAAGGCCGGATAGGGCCACAGGTGCTCCCTGAGCTGGCCTCGAGGGCAAACTTGCCTCTCCCGCTCACCCTCTGCTCCAAGCTCAGGATGCGCTCACGGTCCAGCTGGCTCTGGTGGATGGAAGTGGCCAAGGCCAGGTGGGAGGCCTCCACCTCCTTGTTGAGGACAGCAACGATGTTCTCAAACACACGCAGCTTCTCCTCCAGCTCGGCCAGCAGCTTCTCCTTCATGAAGTGCTGCAGGGCCAGCTCCTCCTGGCTCTCGGAGCAGGGGGCTCGGTAGCAATCCACCTCCAGGTCCCCTGCCACTTCCACAGCTGCCTGTAGCTGCAGGTCTGACAGGTTCCGTTCCAGTGTTGTGGGTCCGGAACCTGTGACTGAGCCCACCTGAGCTTTCCACTGTTTCATGAACCCCAGAAGCATGTTCAGGTGGGTGGCCTGGGAGGTGGCCTCATGTTCCTGTAGGGATGGTGGGCTACCCTGCCGAGAGAAAAGAACCATCATGAGAAGAGAGGTGGAGGGCGGACTGGGGAACATTGGAGCACCCTGGCACTGGAGGCTGCCAAGGGACATTGGACTCTTTTGCTCACCAGAGGGAAGTGGCTTTCTGTACAGTGGGAGGGACCGGAAGACTCTGGTATCAGACATGATGGCCCAAGCCTCAGGAATCCTAACCTCTAGAGCAAAAATCCTGCCCTGCTTTTGAGCACAGTAATGATTCAGGACCATGGAGAGAGGCGCAGGGGTGGTTTTAATTACTAACTGCCAAGGTTTCAGTAAGAAACTAAGAACTTTCTTGCCAGCGCTCTGGGAGGCTGAGGCAGGAAGATCACAAGTTTGAGCTGAGCCTGGGCAACTTAGAAACTAGGTGGACCCTATCTCAAAAATTCAAATATAAAAATTGGGAAATTAGTGCAGTGGCAAAGCCCTGGGTTCAATATCCCAGTACATAAAATGAAACAAAAATGAAAACTTCTCTGAATACTATACCTAATACCATGGCTTAATAGTGAGATCAATGGCTTGGAAAGTCATTAGTACAATGGACATCCAGAGGGTAGCTTTATGGTATGGGGAGCTGCTGAATGGAGGAGACCCAAAGTTCTGGGACTGCAGTGGACAGATCCTCTTAACAACATTTACCTTGAAGGAGCAGCCAACACCTGCAAAGGGACACCCAATTCCAGCCTTGGCCACATCAGGGGGAACCTGGAAATAACAAGCATGTCATTAGATCTTTTTTTTTAAAAAAATAATTTCTTTTTATTTTTTTTTCCTGATTTTTTTTTTTTTTTTTTTTTGTCTTTTTCCTTTTTATCGGTACCGGGGATCGAACTCACGACTGCCTGCTTGTAAGGCAGGCGCTTATGCCGCTGAGCTAAATCCCCAGCCCCATGTCATTAGATCTTACAGGGATTCATGTGACCACTCCTAAGGCTCTCCGTAAGGCACCAATATCCACCAGGGCAGGAGTGGATCTGGGCACATGACTTGGCACATGCAGTTCTCCTTGCCTGGTAACTCCTTTCCACTCTTTGACCCTTGGCCCTTTTGTGACTTTCCTTCAAAATAGGACCAGATTCCCAGCTGTCATTCCAAGCAGCACTGTTATTTCTGGCAGGACAGGTCCACACAGCTGCCTGAGCAGATACTTCATGAAAGGAGACACACAAGTGATAATTAGCCTATGAAATGATGCTCAATATCACCAATCATCAGAGAAATATAAACTATACCCACAGTGAAGTATCACTATCTATTCACTAGAACAGCTAAAATGGAAAACAGTGACAATGGGAGTTCTCCTATACTCCTGGTGGGAATGCAAAATGGTACAGATGCTTTGGAAAACTTTATAGAAGTATCTTGTGAAGTTAAAGCATGCTTATAAAATAACTTATTTACAAACCGCACTTACAAAGTTGCCATATAACCCACACATCTCTCTCTCAGAAACTGACCCAGGAGAAGTGAAAATGTATGTCTGTAAAGAGATGCAGATATGAATGATCATAGCAGCTTCATTCACCATAGCCACAGACTATAAGCAAGTTACAGTAGTCAGTGGTGAGTGGATAAAACAAACCGCAGTATATCCATTCTAGAAAACAAAACACTCAGCAATTAAATGGAATTAAATATACACAACTGCATGGGTGAGCCTCCAAAACCTTATGCTAAATGAAAGAAGTCAAACACAAAAGACAGCATGTTTTGATTCCATTCTGAAGCGTTTCTATAAAAGGCACAATGATAGTGACCCAAAGTAAATCAGCGGTTGCCTGGTGCTGCAGGGGTGTGTGTGGGGGGCAGGAGAATGATGACTGAGGACACAAAGTAGCCTATTTTGGGGCAGAAGTGTTTGCCATCTTGACAGTAATAGTGGTCATGTGACTATATTCAGTAATGAAGGTTCATTAAACTGTTCGCTAACAATGAGTGAATGTCATTGCTTGAAAATAGTAATGTCATTATACACAGCTTTATAATCTTGTTTTGGTAGAATGATCTGATGCAGTCAAAATCAGGGAGGATATGGATAGAAAAGAGGACCAAGGTCTCTTGGGCTGAACAAATACAAAGCCACACTAGTTATTCCTCTCTACAAGTCAAGCAAGCCCAATCAGTGGGCTTGCTGAGTCCAGTTGGTTTGGGACACAGACCATGGCTCACTCTGCTGCTTTGGGGACAAATGTTCCAACAAAGAATGAGAAGCAGATGTTTTATGGGGAGTGAACTCTGGGAAACCAGTGATCATGAAGCCTCTCCTCACAGGGAGCTTTTGATGCTATGTAGGAACAAGAGAAGCCTGAAGCCAGCTGAGGATCTGAGTGCTTGGTACCTGGACCTGGGAAACCCCTGGGCCCTACAACTCTCTAAACGCCCATGACTCAAATCGTTTGTGGTTGTAACAGTGGAAGCTTGATGTGAGTCATCAGAGATAGAAGGCGAAAGGTCAAGCTAAAAGTGGCATTTCAGACACCACCTGAGTAGAGGGGGTGCGTCCTCGGGCAGCAGGGCCTCCCGTGTCATGTGATTGGTGACTGCCTGCTTCATGGATGTCCAGGTCCTACTATGTAGGATGTGTTACCAGTGTGGCCTGGTGTGTTGATGGAGGGGGGACAGGGGTCACTCCAGAGGACTTCCGAGGCCTTGGCGGCCAGCCAGGCTACCTGGCCTACCTGTAGTCCCTGATTCCTTAGAGTATGGAGGTTAGGGGTGTGGGTCCCAGAACCAGCCTGTTTGAGCCTATTTCTGTTACTTCATATCCCAGAGAGGTAGCCCTGGGGGAATCATTAACTTCTCAGTCTTAGTTTTCTCATCTGTAAAAGGAAGATAATAACAGTATCTACCCTTTTGGGAGTAATTGTGGGGATTAAATGAGGTAACAGAAATGCTAGTATTAGTTACCTATTGTTGCTGTGACAAAATACCATACATTTAATAGTTTAAAACAGTAGGGATTTATTATCTTACAGTTCTGGAGGCCAGAAGTCCTAACACCAGGGTATCAGGAGCTGTGTTTCCTCTGGAACTGTAGAGGAAGGTCTGTTTTCCTGATTTCTAGCTTCAACTGGTTGCCTGCTTTCCTTGGCTTGGGGTCTCTTTCTCCAGCTTCAAAGCCAGGAGCACAGCATCTGCCAATCTTTTATTTCTCTCTTACGAGAGTGTTTGTGCTCACATCGTGTTCACCTAGGAGTCCTGGATCATGGGCTTCATGTGCCTCCCCTGCAAATTTGTATGTTGAAGTTCTAACCCCATATCCCTTAGAATGTGGTTACAGGCCTTTAAAGAGCCCATTAAATGAAAATGAAGTTATTATGGGTGGGCCCTAATCCAATAGGACTGGTGTGGACATGGGAGACCACATAACAACATAGGAACATGGGAAAGAATGGCCATCTACAAACCACAAAGAGACACCTGGGAAGAAATCAACCCTGCCAACACTGTGTTTCAGGAAGCAAACTTCTGTTGTTGGCACCTAGTCTGCGGCCCTTGGTTATAGCAGTCCTAGTGAATGAATACGGTCATGCAAGATGATCTATTCACAGTTTCCCAGCATCAGGATGTGGACATCTTTTTTGGGGGAATGTTTTTTGTCTAACACAGTGTTCAAGATACATTAGCTGTGCGTAGTGGAGTGACTGTTACCAGTACTATGCCGACGGCCCCCCCATCTGCCAGTACCTGGATCTCATTTAATTTTCACATCTCAAACTCTTAACAATTAATTCAATACAACTTTGTTTTCTCATTGGATTTTCTCTGACAGACAAGGCACATTCCTACACATGTAAGCCCCTAAAACATCTAATTATAGAGGAGTAAAGCTTTTTTTTTTTTTTTTTTTGAGACAGGGTTTCACTATGTAGTTCAGACCAGCCTTAAACTTACTATATAACTAGCCTCAAACTTGGGGTGATCCTTCTGCCTCAGTGCTGGGATTACAGGCATGTGCCACCATGCTCAGTGACCAAAATATTTTTGCATGCTATCTCAAAGGGTTCCTCTGACAATTCTCTGTGGCAGGCAGGGCTGAATTAGCTTCACCTTAATAGAGACAGAGAAACGGAGCAGATGGTTTGCTTGAGGTCACTGTGACTTGCTCAGCTGTGTGTCGTCTGTGGCCTGTCAGATCCTCCCAGCACCCGGAGGAAAAAGACAGGGCTCAGGTTTTGCTTCCTCACCATGGAAAGGAAACTGGGAGTTGGGTGGAAGGGGCTTATAGGAGGCAGCAAGGCCGAGCAAAGCAGCCCCAGGGCCTGCAGCCTGCTACTGAATTCCTTCTCTACCAGAGTCCCCACCTTGACCAAAGTATGGCCTCTCCTGAAGGCTGGGGACTGATGGGACAGAGAGGGAATTAAGCCCGGCTGAGGAGAAAGAACAGTGCTTTGTCCTGAGCCAACTCTGGGGTCTCCTCGGTGCCACAAGTGGCCCCTGTGTGAATGACTGTACTGCTTGCAAGTTACTAAAAATAAAGTTGGCAGTGGAATTTACTCTGAGGAAGAAACAGAAAAAGAGAAAAGAGAGTCCTGGACCTGCAGGAACACTTGCCCCCGCAAGGCCTCAGGCTGGGGGGTGTTTTCAGTCATTCAGCCACTCAGGGCCTTTGTGATGAGGTCACAGAGGGTCCCAATGGGCAGCCCCCACTTCGAGACCTGGGGGCCTCAAGAATGTGAGTGTTGAGAGGGTGCCAGCTGCCTGAGTGCTGAGTTTGTGCAGCTGCTGCATAGAACAGGAGCTGAGCATTCCGGGGCTGCCTGCCTGCTGGGCTGGGCATGGACACAGCTCAGCTTTGGAGGCCTGAGGGACTGTTGCTGCTCAGGCCTCAGCTGGTGCCGAAGCAGAGCACCCTAGTTACAGAGGGGACCTGGTCAGTCTGTCGCTGCCTGTCAGCTCCTGCCTTCCTCTGTAACAGTGCCTGTTTCCTGCCTGCCTTCCTCTGCTCAGCTCAACTGCCACCTCCTCCTGGAAGCCCTGGCTGATTCTCTGGTTGAGAGCAGTCTTGGACGTTCCCATTGCACTTACTGGATTCTGGCACTTAGGGATGTTTGTGTTATTTAAACATACATAAAGCTTTTGGGGCGTAATCCCCATTTGGAGGCAGTATAGCCTAGGAGGCAGAAGCTTGGGGCCTGCCTTTGTTTTTCACTTGCCATGTGATTTTGGTCCGGGTGTCAGTATCTCCTCGCAGGGCCTTAGATACATCACCTGTTAGTAAGACAGAGGCAACACTACCACCCCCATGTGAGATGCCACTGGACTGATAAGCTTATAAACTGCCGAAATCCGAAGTGTAAGGGTTTGGAAGTTCATCTCAAGGGACACAGATAAACAGGAACATGTTTGCCTGAGATGCACGAAGACTGGGGACAGATATAAGAGGGACAGGTTGGTGTCTTCCTCAGAATGGAGCCCAGAATGGAGGTTGCCTTGCCCTTTGTGGCCCTCAAAGGAGACAGACTTCAGCTCTGCACAAATAAAGAAGAAACAGTTGCTATACTCAGAGGCCTTGGAACATGAGGCAGCCATCCATGGAGTAAAGAGCGCCCTATGTTTAGAAGGGCATGAAGTCAAGCAGCAGGAATCAGGTACATGATGGAAATAGGACTAAGAAATTTAAGCTCCTGTCATTTTTGGATTCTAGAAAAAGTTGTGGCATTATTGTGAGCCACCAGTATCAGATGCCAGCATAATTCTGACCTTTTTGAAAGGGTCTCAGAAGGAAGTGAGAGAAACAATATCATATGCAGGGGTCTTGGTAAATAAATTTGCATGTTATTTCCCAGCCACTGGTTTGGCCCTTACTTCATTTTTACCTCATCAGGAAGATCAATCCAGGCGAAAACCTAGTCTCTAACTAGGTCAACATCAATCCTCTTTTATCTGCTTCTTATATTAGGTAACCTGTCCGTGGCTCTGTGCGCTTCTCCAGGAGATTGTAATTGAATAGTCGGAGGATGAACACAAACTGATAAGCAGATGGCACAGAAAATGTCTTCAAGGATGGCTGCCACCTCCTTCTGGAAGCCCTGGCTGATCCTCTGATTGAGATGGACTTAACTCAGCAGGGCTCCAGTCCAGCCTGGCTTTTCTGCCTTGCTTTTGTTTCCCATGTTCTTTCAGAGGCACAGACAATCTTAGAAATTCCCACATATGCAAAGTGTTAACTTCTTATTAGCTTCTTTCTTTTGGTCAAAAGTCCCCCAAAGTTTCCACGAAGGGCAGGATTCAGAGTAGTCCCTGGTCTTTCTACTCTGTGGCTTTGTGCAGAATTCATTGCCTGGGCACTGATGACTGCACTGGGTGGGAAACCAGCAGCTCCTTTGAGAGGGGCTGGCTGGGTCAAGGAGGCTCCTGTCCCCCAAACCCAGGCAGCAGCGTGCCCTGTAAGCAGCAGCCACTTTGGGCTTATGGCAGCAAGTGTCACATGTGTGCTGTGGGGCTCTGTGAGTACCCAGAGTCCTTTAGGGGTGGGGACAAAAGAGCCAGGGTAACTAACAAGATGGGGTTCCAGGTTCCCCTTGCTCATATTGGATTTTGCTTTGACAAAGGGGGAAGAAATGAAAGTCACCAGGTTAAGAGATTGCCCTACCCTACCTGTGTAATCTAATGAGTGGGTATTAACTTTGTTGACAAGGAATAAAACAAGTTCAAAACAGTAGCCCTGGACCATGCAATCAGGCAGGGCCTTAGACAGCCCACAGAGTCAGGGGTTTGCTCCTGTGTCATAGCCAGTGCTCTAAATCAGCCAAACAAGAAGGTTCAGGAAATTCTCCACTTATCAAAGTATATTGTAACGACTCTTTCAAAATGTAGCACGTCAAGTGGCAGGAAAATGCATTGGATCCTGATTATTTTTCTCTGAGGCCCTGCCTAAGGAAAAACCATTGAGAAAAGGACAGGAAAGCCCTCCAAACTTTCCTGCACAGGGCAGGAAATTCCCCCAAACTTTCTAAATGACAAGGACCAGTGCATAGCAGGGAGAAGAAGGTGAGGGTGAAAGCAATTGTGGGAGCCACTGACCTGTGACCTGGGTATCACAGACCTTGGAAAGGCCCTGCAGAGCCAACTTAGTCAGGCCTTATTTGCAAACAGGGAAAAACAAGGCCTGGGATTTATCACTAGCCACAAAACTGTCCCCGAAATCTGCAGGTCACTGTTGCTAAAAGGAGAAAATGGAACTGCATCTATTTCCCAGCGGGGGCAGTGAGGCTGGTTAGTGGGGAGCTTTGGCCCTGGGACTTCCCAGGGGGTCTTGGGCCTCATATCTAAACAAATAAATAAGGGGGTTGGATTTTAAGCAGTGATTCTATATGTTTGTCGCCATGGACCCATATACTTTTTTTTAAATTGGGAGATTAATGCAAAGATTGACATCATTTTGTTATATCTAGTAATGGCTTTACTGAAAAAAATCATCTACTATTGTACCATCACATTTACACAATGAAATATATCAGGGGAACGTGGTGGGCTCAGAGTAAAGGCTGATTGCTCAGTTGGAACAATTTAATGTCATAAGAAATTGACTAGAGTTTCCTGATTTTTATTATGGGATCCTGAAGTGGTGGGAATGGACAAGTTCTGCATGGCATGTGGGAATCTGTCTAGACAGATGCTTGGCTGAGGGTCCTGCCCACCAGAGTTATAAATTGTGGTCCCCAAGGCTGTTTCTGTGGCTTCTTATACTTCTAAAGATATCTCTCACCCTAGAAGCACGGCCAGGCAGGGAGCTGAGAGTGGCCTCTCCCTACATCACAGGCTGGCTACATCACAGTTTTTTCAGTAAAGGGTCAGAGTGTAGTATTTTGGCCTTTGATGTCTCTGTTGAAAATACTCAACTCTGCCATTGCAAGGAGAAAATAGCCACAGGCAATGTATAAATGAATGGACATAGCTATGTAACAACAAAACCTTATGGACACAAAGTATGAATTTCATATAATTTTCATGTGTCCCAAAATACCATTCTTCTCCTCCCCCCCCATTTATTTAAAAAAACAAAAACATTCTTCACTTCAGGACTATACAAAAATCTAGGTGGTGGGCTGGACATGGCCCATGCATTGCAATTCATGGACTCGTGATTCAGACAGTAGATCTCACCCTGAATCTTTCACAGACCAATGGGGGTAGTTTTGGGTAAGGTGCCTCACCTCTGTGGACATCAGGCTCCTCAGTGTTTGTAAAATGAACTCAGCATAGGCTAAAGGCAAAGGAGAAAGGTGTCTGCCAGGGCCACCTCAACCTACTTGGCCTCAAGTTGGACCCATCAGGAGAACAGGCAAATACTCTTTCCTGGCCACACCAACATACCTTCTCCTGGGTTAGAAGGCTTCCAGGACTCTCAGATTGGAGGCTGTCCCCTCTGCATTTGGCACAGATCTGATCCTCGCCGCCGTTCCTGGGGAAACATGAACAAATCCTGCTGAGTGAGGTGTGCAACTCCCTGGCACCATGCATTCTCCTGCAGTGCCAAACTCTTTGACCTCTGCCCAGCATGAGTGCCGATACCAGTGATCAGGCAGGCAGGTCCATTGTCCCAAATTGCTAAAGCACAGGAAATGGGATGTTTTTCTGCAGCTAAACCTGACCTCGCTCATCCCACTTGGTGTGTACATTTATCTTGCACTGTAGAAACATTAAAGTGTTTGATTACAGGGTGCAGCCTCTGTCCCCACTAGAAGAATTATATCATGTGCTGGCTAGCCTTTCTAAACCCTGAAAAATAAAAAGAATTCCCAAACATATCTTGCCCCAACGGTTTAGGGAGGGGATGGTGAATGCATGATTATACTTGCTCTGTTCAGCAGCCTCTATGTGATTTTGGTCTATTATTATTATTATTATTGATATTTTTATTATGATTTGGTATAGGCTGGGGACTGAACCCAGGGCCTTTGCATTGAGCTACATCCACAGTCCCTTTTTTAAAAATTTTGAGATCGGTTCTTGCTAAGTTGATAACTTGCCCAGATTGGGCTTGCACTTGTGAGCCTCCTGCCTCAGCCTCTAAGAGGGCTGGAATTACAGGTGTGGACCACTGTATTTGGCTGCCACCTCTTGGTCTAATAGCTACAGATGACCATGGCCATTCTTATTAGAATAAGAAGGGGCCTCAGAAACTGCCTCCCCTGAAGGCTCTGAGTCAGGAGTGGGTGTCAGATTCTGTGGGGTGGCACATGGGTACCTGGGTTTTCACAAAGCTTCCAAGTGGTTCTGACTCACAGTGAGTGCTACTGATCTAGCCATTTTGTCTTCTGGTCAGCTCCTGTCCCCTCCTCTGTGTGGAGAGGCCCAGAGAGCCATCCCCAAAGCCCGAGATGACTCTACAGCAGTCCACAGCAATCCAGAAAGGCAGAAGGATTTACTCCTCCGTCCTACACCTGGCCTTTCCATCACCACGGCCTCTTACTGCTTCCCACAACCTGCCCTTTATCACCCTGTACTTCTCACTTGCCTGATTCAGTTTCCCACCTTCTTAAACTGTTACACCCAAGCCAAAGGTCATGGTGGTGCTGCATGACCATTTAAGGGCAAATTTGCCAAACTGGCCTTGGACAAGCTGAGCTCTTCTCTGCAGGAAGCCTCAGTGTCCTTATCTGTAAAATAGGGCAGTAACATTACCCACCTCTGCAGGCTGTTTTGAGGACGCCAGGAAAGAGAACTTGGCACACAGTAGGTACCTAATAGTTGCCAAACGTGGGATGTTAATGTTACTTTTGATGTCCCACATTTCTGAGCCATTTATGTTTTAAATATAAATATAAGTGGCTGAGGGGATAGCTCAGTAGTAGATTACAAGGCCCTGGGTTCAATCCCCATCACTCCCCAAAACAACAAGACCCAGAATTAAATAAACAACAACAAATAAAAACCATAAATATAAATAAATTTGTCATTTATCAAGGGAGTTTATACTCATTATTGTAAGCACCTTTTTGAATATAATATACCAGGCCTTGCAGCAATTCTGTGAGGCAGGAAACAGCTGGACAGATAAGAAAGCAGAGGCGCACCGCCAGCAGCACTTGTGCCAGGCCACCCCACGATCCCTGCCCGCACCTCCTTCCTGCCCACTCTTCACACCCTCACCTTAGGTTCTCGGGCTGACAGTCTGTGCAGCAGAGGGCTCTGGGTTCTGGCGGGTCCTGGCAGATGGTGGGGGGCAATCCAAAGGGGAACTCGTTCTCATCGGGTGCGGGGCGGGGGCTGCTGGGTGAGTTGGAGGCCATCCCAGGGTGCAGGGCCGGCAGAGGACCAGCTCTGTGGAGTGCGTGGGGAGACAGGCCTGGGCCACCCTCTCTGGTGAGCAGGAGTCTCTAGTGACTTTATCTTCTGTCTGGCTTGTGAAGTTCAACGTCACAGCTGAGTCACAGCAAGGATGAAACAGGAATTACCCTTTGTGGTGAAAAAAAAATCCCCTGGACGGTGAGTGAAGGCTTCAGGAGTGTCCAGTCATTTTTCACAGTGAACAAGAGCAAGAGAGCAGATCACAGTCAAAGAACCCTGTCACAGACTTTCAGAGACCCCAGAGTTTCTCTTGTCTGAGATCTGCAGGCTGTCTCGGACTTCCTCTGCTTCCTCAGGGGCTCACTGGTGGAGAGGCCAGAGCTGGCCACTTGTGTTGTTACCTGGGACCTCTGAGCAGCAGTGAATTTTCAGCAGGGGTGCTCGCCTTCCTGGTGGAAATCCCCAGGGTCCTAGGGGGCAGGTCCAAAAATTCAAGTTCTAAGGTCTTTAGCGCATCTGTTCAATGCATGTGGGGGACCTCAGGTAGGAGTCACTTTGTCACAGTGGCTCTTGGTTACTCCATCTGTAAAAAAAAAAAAAGAGTTGCAACAAATGGTCTCAGGCTCTACAGTTCTGCGACCCTATGACCAAAGCCACCAGAACCAGCTGGAGGCCTCTGAGGACTCAACCCTGCCTGTGGCATCCTGCGCAGATCATGACAGTGACAAACAGGGCCCTCCCCCGTTCCTTTGAAGTCTAAGGGACCTCAGACTCCATACAGCCCTCTCCCCACAGCCCTACTCAGGAAGTCATACGTGCTCAGGTTGGGCGCCACCACTTCCCTGCCCCAGGGAGAACAAAGCACTGAACAAGATAGCTGAAATGGCTTCAGCAGCCAAGTGAGTTGGAGCTCTATGTTTGTAGGAAAAGCAAGCTGTGGAAACAGAGGCTATCGTGCCCTTCCAACACTCACCACAACCTGTTGGGAATTCTGCAGCCACATATAGCTTAGAGAAGCAAGATGCACGCTCCAAACCAGAGTTGTGGGACTTCAAGTTCTGTGTTTTTCCACCACAGAAGCGATGAATGCAAGGCAGGGTGATGGAACCTTGGAGCCTAGGATGGAAATCAGAGTATCCACCTTGTCTTACCTATCAAATGGAAAAATCACTGGGCTGTGACAGGTGTTTTCAAACTTTCACAGTGGTTTCAAATCATGGTTTTTGAGGCACTCATATTTGAGTAGGAATCCTGGGTCCATTACTTACTAGCTATGGCTCCTAGTACAAGGTCTTTAGCTTCTCTGAAGCTCAAATTGTGCATTATAAAGTGGGGATGATAATACCTACTTCATCCAATTGTTGTGATGACCAAGAGGTGAAAGTGTAGCATGGCTCATGGCCCAAGTGAAATGTTTGGAAGGCTTCAGCATTTTGCTCAGCTCATGGCCACAGCTCCTCTACTGAAAACCAGGGAAGAGGACAAAAAGTGTAAATTCCACCAATATAATGTTCTCATAGCCACTGACCTCAGCCTCCCACTTGGGTAGGGCAGGTTGGATGTTGTCATCTGATCCTAGATAAACTCAACTGCCAGCCTTCCCAGGGATAGAAGAGCTGCTGGGGCAGATGGCATAGAGGTCACTGTGTCCTGTGGTGGCAGTTTATATCAGGACTTCACCCTCACCTGGGCCTGCCTGGCCTTTTCAGCAAGGCACCTCAAGGTCCACTTGAGATCATCAGAAAGGCACTATGTTAACTGCTTGTCTGAACCTGCCAGTTTCCTGCATGTCCCCCCTGTTCGCTCCCCGCCCTGGTTTGGAACAAAAGAGGCACCCAAGCCTCACCTCCCCATCCAGCTTCTGTGTCCCTTCCTCACTAGTCATTCTGCTGTCTTGTCTGTTCACTGACTCCTTCTACCAGCTCCTTCCTATCGGCACCAAAATATGTGCAAGTCACTCTACTAAGTGCAAAATAACAAGCACTACTTTTAGTGCTGTTAAGTACTTTTAGACATGTCATCCAATTGTCACGTGACCCCTAAGAGCTAGATATTGCCATCATCACGTCCATTTTATGGAGGAGGGAACTGAGGTATAGAGGAGTTACCTGATCTTTGGTTAGTGAGCCAGGATGCTGGAACCAAAAGCCTGCACTCTAACCACACATGCTTCCAAACGCTCTGCACCTTCATCCCCAATTCCCCTCTCTCCTCTACTCTGTCTTCTCACTCAGCAGTAGAATGTACAGAAAAGACTGTCTATAGAGGTGCTTGCATCTTCTGGAACCATTCCCTTGAGGTTGCCAGCTGCCTGGGCCTGTCCCAGTATATCCTCCCAGCCCTTGGTCCACACTCTTAGCTCTTCCCGAATCCCTCCTTTCTTTCCTCCCCTCCTCTAACCCCATCACCACTACTGTGCTTCTTAACTATCCTCTTGACCCCTTTCTCTTCCACCGGGAACCTCCACTGGTCCATCTGCAGGGCTCTGAGCACTGCAGTCTCGGAGCCATGACCTCCATCTCCAAGCCTTCCCACTCTTCCTTCCAGGGACCCCACAATTCCCCCTGGGAAGTCTCTCTGGGCCAATGGAGTTGGACCCCTGGCTTGCCAGACCTCCACAGCCGCCTGCTGCCCGGGAGGCCTCTGTGGTCCCCAGCCCTGACCCCAGGGCAAGCAGCTAATGTTCAGGTGCGAGCACACTCCGACACTCTAGCAGCCTCACTGCGGCCCCCCGGAACGCGTAGGTGGGGCTGGGGGCAGTAAGCTGAGCAGGGCCACAGCCGCGGAGCCCAGGTCCCGAGGTCTGTGGGGCTAGAGCTTGGGAAGCCCCCACCCCGGTGCGGCAGATCAGGGGCTGGGCCGCGCAAGGCGGAGAGATTGGGGTGGGAGGGGTGCAGAGCAACCAACCTCAGTGCCGACGCCTCCCTGCGGCCAGTCCGGGAGCTTCCGGTGAGGCGCAGAGGATGACACCTCCCGGCCGGCGGAAGCCACGAAAGGCAGGGCTGGGGGCCGGGTCCCTGCACACCAAACTAGTTTCGGAGGCCGCCCCCAGGGGCGGGGCGAGCACTCTGCGGACGGGGAAACTGAGGCCCCGCGCTCCCACTGGCGGCTAACCGGCGGGCAGCCCTCCCCAGCGCGCCATGTTCCCCTGCCTACTGCCGCGTCCGCGCACACCGAGTACGTTTGCAGCGCTCGCCCAGTGTAGACCTGCACAGGCCTGGCCTTTGAACCTTTGCGGGCTCCCGGCCTGTATGGCATCCCGCAGCCCGGTGATTTGAAACGTAGCAACCGAAGTCTTACCCTGGTGGACTCCCCGCACGGAGCCAGCGCGCTGCCAAGTTCCTCGCTAGCGGATTGGCACAATCTGTAGAGTTGTGCTGAACGGCTCCAACGGTGCGTTTGCAAACCCGGGGATTTTAAGGGGCCATTTCTGCTTTTTTTAGTCTAAACACAGCGTGTGTGCGCACATGCACAGGCACGCACGCACACACACACGAACACATACACAAGCACGCGTGCACTGCCACTTATTCTCCGTGAGCTTGTTTATATTACTCACAAGAGTTAATGGAATTTGGTGTTGGAGTAGGAGTTTTGTTTATAAGATACAAACAACTGAATAACAATACGCGATATATTAACCAGTGTTAATCTTCTATTATTTGCTTTGAAATTCTGTGTCATTGCTTTTGTTCTTTTTTTGTTTTTAAAATAAAAAAAAGAAAGAAAATACAAACAACTTTCAACTTTTATTTTTGCAAACCACTAATTTGACACCTCTTCTTTAATCTGATTTAACACTTGTAGGTCCAGCTGCTGAGGGAGGAGGGATGTTGTCCTCCTCGGTTTTAATTTCACACATGAGGCACACATGACACAATCTTTATGTATTAGGGTCCTTGTCTGTTTTTGTTTTGAGTCCCAATTGGCCTTAAAAGAGGGGGTGAGGGGGAGCTACCCTTTGCTTTTCTCACTTTTTGACCTGGGATGTAGGCAAGTGGCTGGCAGGTGGATGTTGCAGGAGGGTCCCGTGGGTAAAAGGAGACTGTGGGGTCCCACCTAGAAGGGAGGTGTTTTTGGTGGGGGAACAAACTGAGGGGCTTCAGGAGCTGAGAGAGAACCCCTAGAATCTACAGGAAGCTGCCCAGCGGCAGCCTGTGAGGCCTTTCAAGTCTAACAGTAAAGCATCCAAGTTCCCCTGTGCTGATTTAACAGTGCATCAGCTGTCAGGCTAACCCTGTCTCAAGGATCTGAGGTCTGCAAGAGCCACTCTCTGCCTCACCTCTGTCCCACTCCCCCTTCTTCCCTGTCCCCGCTGGGCCAGTATGAGTGAAAAGAGCAGGCAGTCTGACCTCACACTCCTCATGTGCCACATCCTGTTTTCAGATTAGTGAGCTCATTTGCTGGAAATTTACCAAGGGAAATAGTTTAATTTTGGAAAGTACCAAAAACTTATCTGTAGTCACTCCGTTTAATTTTGGTGGGTCTTGAAATAGAGGGGGCATCACCAAAGGACCTCTGAGTGCCCAGGAAACAGTGAAGCTACAGAAATTGAAAGTCCAGCTCTGTAAGGTTGAACCTGATTTAAAAGGAGAACTAAAACCGTTTGGAGATCACTCATCTCTACCCAGTAGAATTTTTTCCCCTAAAAGTAAGTTTCAAAAGACAAATATCCCATCTGTCCGAGGTCTCAGGTCTAGTGGTCTGAGTGTGGGGCTACGATTGAGGAACAAGACATAAGTGGTAAAGGAGGCGATGTTTGAACCTCAGGCTTTTCTCATATCCACATCTGTTCAGGGTGTTCTCAGAAGAGCCCGGAAAGGCTTTCACTCTCTGGTTTTGGCTGGCAGACCCTTGATGTCAAAGCGGTCTTCCCCATAGAGAGCTGCAGCTCCTGCACAGTGGCTAAGCACCAGATGACCAGGATGGTGTCTGCATGCTTACAGGTATAGGCTGTCTACATGGAAGATGAGAGAGCACAGGTGTCCCCTCCCCCCAGGCTCTCTCTGGATAGCTACAGCTCTCCAAGAGGCAGACCACTTCGACATCAGGGGTCTGGCAGCTGAAGGATTGGGGCAAAACCGGAGAGTGAAAGCCTTTCTGGGCTCTTCTGAGAACAGATGTGGATACAAGAAAAGGCTGAGGCCCAAACGTCGCCTCCTTTACCACTTGCTGTCTTGTTCCTCAGTCATGGTATCTGACAGCCTCCTGGCCTATCTCGTTTCCTCAAGTGAGATTGAGAATGCATGAGAAGATTCAGAGTAGGAGAATCGTGAAAGCTGAGTCTTGAGTTCAAGGATGAAAAGAATTGCATCTTCCTTTCTTCCTTCCAGCCCCAACTGAAATCTGTAGTGATGTGGGAGTTAAGAGATTTGTATTCCACTTTGTTTTCCCCAGACACCTACTCAGTTGATTTTTTGGGGTGTGGGTTAATAAATGTTTGCCTAAGTTACACACACACACACACACACACACACACACACACAGCACAAGAAAATCTTAGTTTGGCATGGCATATAGCTATAATCCCAACATTTAGAAGGCTGAGGCAAGAGGATCACAGTGAGTTTGGGGCCTGCCTAGGCTACATGGTGAGTTCAAGACCAACATGAACTACATAGGGAGACCCTATGTAGGGTCTTCAAGAAAAGAAAGAAGAAAGAAATGATCAGAGCATGCATTGAGATTTTCAAACCTCCCATTGCTGCGCGACCTTGTTTTGAAATGCTGTCTGTCTGTCTGTCTGTCTGTCTCTCTCTCTCTCTCTCTCTCTCTCTCTCTCTCTCTCTCTCACACACACACACACACACACACACACACACACAGAGGCCAAGAGGCTCCATTAAGCAGAGCAGGTGCGCTGTCTACCTTGACTGGGGCTTTAGGTCCTCACAGAGCCACACGGTTTGAAAATCTCAGGCCTAATTTGATGTTCTGTGCTGTGGGATTCCCTCCGCAGCTGGCTTGCCTCTGCTGTCCCAGCCTTTACAACTTTTTTTTCCTGACAAAGGTGTCCTAACTTGTGTTGTATTTCAAAACCCTGGTGGCCCAAGGGACAAGGTACTACAGAAGGGAGACCATGCACTGGCCTGGGTTGTTAGCCCTCTACCCAGGCCTGCCCGTCTGGAAGATTGGGATTTGTGAGTGTAGTAAAAATAATGAGAAGAATAATTAGGCGGTTGTAGTGGTGCACCCTTGTAATCCTAGCACTCTGGGAGGCTGAGGACCACAGGTTTGAGCCCAGACTGGACAAATTAGACACTTAGCAAGGTCCTGTCTTAAAATAAAACATTTTAAAAAGGGCTCAGGGCTGAGAATATAGCTGAGCAGCACAAGCACCTGCCTGGCAAATGCAAGGTCCTGAGTTCTACAGTGATTACATAAGATTCACTGTATATACTCCTAAGTCATCGTTATTGAGAAAGAAGACTTTCCTTCCCCCATAAGCAACTGGCTGGTTTCGGAGGACAGGCTGAATTGATAGCAACTGAGATACAAAAACAACTAAATGCTTGTATTGTTTGATTGACTTTGCAGGCCTAAGGCCCGTAGTCTGAGCATCTACTGGGAAGATTACAGTATGCAATATGGCAAATATGGGGGATTTCCTTCTGTCTTGCTTTTGAATTTCAGTATTATTCTCACTGTGTTGTTCTAACTTATTGTTTTGTTTTATTCGATGCTGTGTTTGGTTGGCTTTATTGTTTTGTTTTATTTGATTTTACTATGTGTGAGGAAATGGACAACTATTGTGAAGATAATAAGACACATTGTGGTAGCCACTGTTGATAACCTATTGTTCTGATTTGGAGTTCTGTACCACTTTCACTGCTTTGTTTTGATTGGCTTTGTTCTGTTTTGTATTGTTGGGTTTTATTCTCCTTAAAATAAAATAAAATAAAATAAAAAAGCCTGGACGTGTAGTTCAGTGTGAAGGTCCTGAGTTTAATCCCCAGTACAAAAACAAAAATGCTATCTTTAATTGTGTTAGACACTGCTCCGAGCATAGTATCTATTCTGTTTCATGTGGTGAGAATAGTTTTTCTGGCTGAGAAAGCTAAGGCTAAAAGAGCTAAGTAATTTGGTCAGGGTCAAGTACCCAGAAATTGGCAGCACTAAGGAGCTAAGGGCTGGCATTCACTCTAGGGAGTGTGTATGTGTGTGTGTGTGTGTGTTTCTGTTTTCCACTTGTTCAGACCAACCTGGGATATCACCTGGTTTTATCACTGGCAAGCTTTGGTTTGTTATTTTACTCTGGGACTCCGTTTCCTCATTTGTCAGGTGACAGGGAAGAAGATGAGGGCAGAGGGGACAGGGAATTAGCCATGGTGGCTTTCATTGACTTTGCTTTACATCTTTTGTCTGGCACATGTAATGTATTAGGGCACAAGCAGGCCCTAGCTGATGGCTGTGAATGTTCTGAACAATTTCCTAGAGTCCTGACAGCTTCCTCCTAGAGCAGGTGATGTGGACAGAAAAGTGAATAAATCCAGTAGTCTAATGATAGCCATCTGAGTATCTCCCATTTGCCACCAGCCCTTACAATACGGAGCCCTTTTACTTAATAAGGCCAAATATCCCTTGTTCTGCCCGTCTGTCACATTCATGGCTTGCGTAGTGACCAGTTTTCCTGTTTGGGTCTTCTTAATCTCCTCTGAGTGCTTCTGACTTACAGACTGGGAAATTTAATCACACAGATGATTGATTACACGCTATCAGGAACCTACTAGATTAGCAGACCAGATGATACTGGGCTCAACTCAAATACAGAATCTCCTCATGGTACCTAAGTAGCTGATACCAACAAAACAAAGAAATACACTGAATGAGCTTATAAAACCCAGAATACCTTGCATGTATTTTTTGCTTAGGAGTGATGATTTAAAAGGTCCTGAGATTCTTTCTCCATCTTGGTTCGCGTTAAATTTATTATAACTGGCAATTTAAGGGATGTGTCTGCTTATATAAATTTTTTGTTTCTTCCCCAGGAAAGTATCTGAGTACATTAATATATAAGAATACGTATATTAAACTTATAAATGAAAACGTGAGAGTAAAGTGATGTCTGACTTCTCCACTGCTGTTTTCCTGGGCCTAGCAGGCAGTCACTAAATATGAGTCCCATATTTAATGATTAATATGCAGGACACTAGGCAGAAAATTGGTACTTCAGGTAACAAGAGGTAAGGAGGATTTCACCTTCATTAGGAAACATTTACCAAGCTTATCTTTGACCTGGCCTTTTGTGGGTGTTGTGCTTAGAAATGCTATTTTAGTAAAAATCTGAAAAGAAATCTGGAATCACGTGTTGAAGGGAGTTTCTGTCTGGTGATTTTCTCTATCTCAAAAGGTTTACAGATTTAAGAAGAAGACAAGCGCCTCTGAAGATCTCTGAATTCTGGGCACCATGCCGTCCCTGGAGGTCTTCCAATTGACTACGAGACTGGCCACTTTGAAGGCAGCAGGGATTTTAAACTTCATGAGTGGGTAGGGAGCCAAGGAAACTCATAAGCAGGTGGTGTGGTCCAGGGAACCCCCAGCAGGTGGATCTTCTGATAAGGACAAGGAAAACTTTGATACTGGCCCACCCCCTCTTTCTCTTTGCTGGCTCAGCCTCCTATTCTGAGAGCCTGGTTTTGCAATGTGTTAATCTCTTCTTTT